ATAGATGGGCGTTCAGAGTATTTATTTCGACCACTTTTAAAATTGTTAATTTAATATAAAGCGATTTTTTGTTTAAATAACATTTATTTATTTATTATTGGATAGAGTGATCTTCTTTCAAGATGCATGTATTCTCAAAAGTTTGTATTTGAGTTAATTGACTTTGAATTAAGTCGAATTTAATGACCAAATGTAGACTAATGATGAGGTTGATTAATCATGTTTTTTGCCAGCATATAAATCAATTTAAAAAATTATATCGAAATATTTATTTTTATAAGCAATTGTAAATATAGGATTATAGAAAATTAATATGTATTAATTTTATAGAAACTTATTAGGTTAAATTATAAAATTTGTATATAATTTGTTTAGAACAGTTTTGTTTGAAGCAAATATGGAATAAACAAGCAAATTAATAGTGAAGAGAAATTTAGAATTCAATTTTACTTAACCTATTATTTAGAAAAAATTAACAAATATATGTGAAATTTGAGATTTCTCTTGTGTATCATATACGAATATGATCTCTTCTTTAGAAATGCGTTTCTTATATTTTAAATTTTTTAAAATTAAATCATTATAATAAAATGTATTAGAAATCAATATGTTGTTTCAATGTGATGCCGATTTATTTTTATTTAAACATCCACACAAATTATTATTATTATTAACAACTTGTAAGAACACTCAATTACCACGTACAATATTTTAATAATATATATTTAAAAAAAGGAAAATATTATGAATTATTGCTTTTCTTAAAAAAAAAAATGTTTGCGAAATAGTTTATGGAAGTAATATAAATTAAATTTTAATTCGAATTATTAAATTTATGTCATCAAGATAATTTTGAGCTCATGTATTTTCGTAAATATAACTGTAAAATAATGAGGAATTTATCTGCAATCGTAAAAGACGCGCCCATTGGTGTAACATTCCGATGAAAACATGATATAAAAAGTTTTTTTATAATTAAATTAAAGTATAATTATTAATATGAAGAATTTATAAAAAAAACATTTGCTTCGCTCATAAAATTTTGTAAATTTTATATATTCAAAATTAACCCCATTGATAAATCAACGGGTATAAAAATATCAAGAGTTATGCCATATTAGACCATTTAAATAGTTATTAATTCAGATTACTATCATATAATATAAATTTATCTCAGAGTAGAAAAACTATCTAAATACATTCATTTATTATTATTTAAGTGTACTGCGTTCGAAATTTAAGTTTTAGTCGACTGATAACTTCTTTGATTGATTGAAAAAAATTAATAATCAATGTATCGGTCTCACAATAATAAATGATAATTTTATATTCATGATAAAGCAACTAGAAACACAAAAATTATTGATATAAAATTAATGGAATAACAGTTGAAGATATTTGACATTTTCAAGATAAGTACAACAGTAAACAATAATACACCGGTATGTGCTACGGAGAGGAAAATAACATTTGATTACGATAATCATGCAAAGAGTCAGAGAAGTGTGTTTTTTATCTCCATATACCAAATACTTTTTATATAAACATTTTTTTAAAAAAATAATTAATTCATGTTAGGGTTTTATTATCATGCATATAATTAATTATAGATTAATTGAAATTTTAAAGTTAAAGAAATTAGTAGTTAGAAAATAATTAAGATATTTTTTTATAAGCTTGTTATAGTAATTCCTAGCTTAAGAAATATTCGTAAGAAAACATTGATATTAATAGCACGTATTATTGATCTTAACAAGTTTGCAAATCATTATATCATTATCTCTTAACATCATTTACTTTAGTACTTTTACATCAATTTTTAAAGTTTTCAATTTTTAAAAGACTATTAGTAAAGCCAAAGTTCATAAAAAAGTTTTTTCGCTCTTAAATCGCTTTAAAAATAAAAGTTTTCAAGTTCAAAATTTTATGTATTAAAGAACGAAGCAAAAAAATCGAATATTTACAATATTAAAGGTTAGTAGTTCTGCCACAAGATAATAAAATAAGTGAAGGTAAAAATATGTGAAAGACAAAAAAGAAAATATCTCGGTTTTGAACCAAATAAAAACCTTAAAAAATGTTACAAATATTTTTAAGAAACATGTTTAGTTATTATTCTCTTAAGAATAATAAGAAATAAAATTAAGTATTTAATTCCTTTTGACAATGAGTAAGACATTAACATAGGAATCGTCCATTAATAACGTGGTCGATTTTTTAGTAAGTTTTAATACCCATACGTTGTGATATTCAAAATTAACCTCCCGTCCCCCGTCAATCATCACGTGTATTTTTAGTTACGTAAAATTTTTCGAATTTACTATAAAATGTAATTTTTTTTTAATCAGGTAAAAATAAATAAACATGATATCTAAGAAGACCCCTCCCTCCCCTCATGCAAGTTTTTGTGTTTTTTGTCAAACCCCCCTCCCCTAAAAGTCTCACGTGATTAATGGACGCCCCCATACAAGTTTAATTATTTATTTGCATTTAGAGTGATTTGTATAAAAAAATATTTAATAAGTGCGATGAAACATAATTTTGCGACCAAATTGAAAATTGTTGACCGGAACAAATTAGAACGGAAATAGCGAACCTTATACAGTCATATGAGGTGAACGTTCATTATTACAGTTATCAATTAATTTCATTAAATTATTAGAAAATTACGATATATTATAGAAATAAATCGATTCGTAATTAATAGGAATAGATAAAACAGTTAATTAAATATATAACATTGTTAAATATAAATATTAAATTAAACCATAATTATAAAATTATAAATCTTTATGTAATCGTAAATTTTAAACACCGAGGGTGTATATATAAGGTTGTCAAATATCTCCCTTCCGCCTTTTTGTATTATAAACCAAGAGCAAAAAAGCGGAAGGGAGATATTTGACAACCTAATATATATACAGATATAAATTATAACATTTGGTACGGAATATGGACTGAAGAAACATTTTCATATACGATTACTTTTCTATATCCCGTAAAAATCAAATTACCTCTATTTCATACCAACTGTCAATATCTTTTTAGGATTTATATAACGCTTGTTTAAAATGCTTTTAGCAAGTTAGTTATAATGTTTACCCATTCCAACCGTTGTATAAAATATGGTTAATTAATAAAATTAATGAAGAATAATCCATAGCTATTTGCAAAAGTTCCTACAACCCTTTTAAATAGTGTTCACAATAAGAAAAGGCGTTATTTCTTGTGATTACAAAATTCTTTAAAGATTTCATACTTATTTTTCAGTCACACTTGTAGTATTATATTAAATAGAAAAACTGATATTAATTAAATAGCTTGTACAAATATGAATATAGAAATAGTGGAAGTATATCAACTGCCCGAATAAATGTGCAATCATTATAATTTATAGCATGAAATAAAATTGTTTAAAATGTATTTTCGTAAAAATATTGTATTAGATTTTCCTACACCTAAAAAATTGATCATATTTCATGGCTCGTGCAATATAGATAATTACAGAATATTATAAAAAGATAAATGCACACATAAGACATACACACACATTTACATATTTTATATAGGGTAGTGTGGGGCTTAAAGGTCGGGGGTAGAAAGGTCCAACACCAATATCTCACTATAATAATAAATTAGCTAGGTATTTTACTAATAGTTGTTAGTTTTATGTGTTGTTTGTTATAATGTACTTGGTTTAGTGTTCATAGCATAATTACTAATAGTCAATTTGGACCTTTGAGCCCTGTCCTACCCTAAATATTATATAGACATTCAATATTAAAATTACAAATACAAAAGTAGTAAAAACTCAGACAAAATCATATTAAGGGGCACGACTAGTGTGAAATTTTCAAAAAATCGAATTTTCAATTTTTCCATATTTCGATAGGCTATACTTTTAAAAATAACATACCAAAATTTAAAAAAAAAATTAAATCGATATCTTAAATAGTTTTTGAGTCACAGCCATTTAAAGAGTATATATATAGTACATAGTATAACGATCATTTTATCTTTAAACGCGTTTTTCTCGAAACAGCATTTTCCGAATTTGCTGCAGTGATTACTCAAAAACAAATGATCCGATCACTATCGATTTTTTTTTACACGTTCTATATATAGTTCTCCATAAAATGAACTATCGATTTTTTTATCGGATCAAAAATCGAATTTTGGCAGGCCAAAAACGACCAAAATTTTGGGTAAAATTTGACTTTTTTTAAAAAAAACGCCATCATTTTGTCAATTTTTGATATTTCTTCTTTATCGTAGTTCATGTTACAGACAATGTTATCTAGTTTAACGAGAGTTTTTTTTAAATTTCATCCACGCAGAAGGCCGGAATCACTGCAGCAGGGAAGGGCCTTTTTTTGTCGCGCCGTTGGTGATCGACGATAACTAATTTAATTTTTCTTTTCAAAAATTTCACTATGTATTCTTAAAACGTGTATAAATATATTCCTAAAATTTTGAAATGATTGACAAAGTAGTTTTTTTTTATATAAATTCCCAAAAATCACCTTTTTTAGGCGTTTACACTAGTTGTGCCCCTTAAAACATTCTAACTTATACAATAACAAAAAAAAATATAATTCATTTTATAATCATATTCATAAATTCAGAATATGTACAATATGAAACGATTTGTCACAAAGGTTTGATTGCATGAAAGTTTTAAGTTTTGTCTGAATTTCTGCTACTAAAAGCAAGCAATATAACCAAAAAATATAATACAGTAATTACTCTCTTAACAAGAAAATGATAGTTTTAGAGAACTTTTTTTTTGATTTTTGAAAACGCGTCGTTAGAAAAAAAAAATAGACATGATAAATGTATCATATTTATTTTATAATTCAAGTTGAGAGAATAAAAAACCGAAACTAAAGAAAAATTTAATAGCCCACCACCCCCCGTCCAGCAAGACAAACCGGTGTTCGATTGTTGTTGGTACGTTGTACTAGTTGAGTAGAGACGAGAAAGTGACTTGCGATTCGCACTTGTATTGTGATGAAATCCATCGCCGGTGGTTGCCGCCCCCTGTGAGCCCCCGTTACCGGACACAGAACTGTGAGAGGCGCCGCCGTCGCTAGCGGACTCCCGGAACCCGGATTCGGCGTAGTGCCGGCCGCCGCGGCCACTGCTGGACATCACCTAAAATGAAAAAAAAAAAAAAAAATATTAGGAAAAGTTGGTAACAAGATTAAGATTATTATTATAGTACAGCAGATAAAATTATTTTAAGTCATAAATAACTTATAAATCATATATGTATAATCTTATAGTTTATTTAAACGTACTTTATTTATTCAAACATTCTACATTGAATTTAAATTATTGAAATATAATTAACACTCATATCAATTTGTTAGCAGAGCACAAAGGTTCAAATTGACTTTTAGTGATTTCTACCCCTTATAAATTTTGTAATATATTTTTTATTTAATCATATAATAGAATGAAATAAAAATGAGATGCACTGTAACTAGTGGCGGTTAGAATATAGGTACAAAAAATCGTGTAATCCAAAAAAAATGGGTTGAATAATAAATTATATAAAAAAAATGAGAGGTGCATGAAAATCTGTTATTAACACTCTTTTAACTTAATTCAAAGTAATTTCAATATTTGTAGTTATAAAAATATTAATAACAATTGTCATAAGACATAAATTTCTGAGAAAACTGCCGAATCACTAAAAAAATCATTAGCCACATGAGCTATAGCGTATATCAGAGTACAGTAGAACCTCGATGGGGGACTTATTGTTGTCGATGGGCATTCGAATAATCAAAAATCCATATAATCGAATGTATGAAGAATAATGTGTATTTACTAAAAATAGCAAATACATACATAGATATCAACGAAAATAATGTTTATTAAGAATTTGGAACTTTCTTATGTATGTATATATATTTTCTTAGATTGCATTGCATACATATTACATACTGCAACATTAATCATGCAAAAATTCGAATTATAGATATGACCATACATATAAACTGGTCGCGGTTGGTAGTCCGGATAATCACAAATTCATATAACTGAGGTCCAGATAAACGAGGTTCTACTGTATTTGAGTATTTATTGCTGCAATATGCCATAAACAAGAACAACGATGGCTCTAATTAGTGAATTTTCTTCCAGGAGAAAAACTATAAATCATACCCTGATCAGCCATTAAGATTATTTTTAAGAAATATCATATTCACTAAATAGGCACTTCTACGAATTAGCGAACAAATGCTTCTTGCATTGGATTACCACTTATTACAATTGAATCAATTAAAATATTTGATCAACCAATTTTGTTGATGCATATACATCGACTCATTTCTCCCATTGGAGTCAAGAACATTTTTATCTTTTCTTTAGCAATAGATGGCAAAAATGTAACCAATGAAAAAATGACTTTTCAATCAATATAATATATCGTGGTTATTAATCATTAATTTTCTTTATTTTGATAATATTGAAATTATAGGATACTACTTTTTACCGTTGGAAATATCATATATATAGCTCTATTTACACGTTGAATTTAAAATATTGAAATATTATTTGAATATAAACATTTTCAAATTTTCAATTTCAAGTTTCATTTAATTATTATTATTGCGAAGAAGTTGACTACATTTGCGATTCTAATTACAAGCAGTAAGTGTAACGCATAACACATATTAAGTATTTCGTGATAGGTATTGAGCATCGTGTTCATTTTCCATCGCAAGCGAAAAAATTATCAATTATTTACATGTTTCATTTAAATATATAATGAAAATGATATGAAATAATGAAATATACCCCAGGAAATACAAATCGTAAAACCACTAAATGCTTGTTTAAGTCACACTTAAGATTATAAATATCGAATTTAATGCAGTGGTTGAAAAGTTATTTGTATTAGAATATGGTGAAAACTAATTAAAAATTAAGTTGTATTTTGCAATATTAATACAATAAAGGTGTTAATAGTGCTCAAGCTTGTAAAAAAAAATTATTGTGTTTACGGTAAAGAACTTTATCATAATCTTTTGCGTGCGAATAGTTCGCTAGATTTAGTTTTGCAAATTTTAAAATGAAACATGAGCTTTACTTTGATCGTCCAATCATTGAAAAAGTTGATGAAATTCTCAAAAAAGTCCAGCAATATAAGCAATTGACAAGAAAACTGTTCTGATTCAGTTACACAGGGCTACAAAATTCTGAGAAGCGAGGAAAGCATGAAAAATCAAATAAACATCTACAATCATCTGAAATCATGTCATTTCTAAAAAGTGTCATGAACGGTGAAAAAATAGTCAATTGGACGATGTATGACAATCGAAAAGAGTAAAAGACCATGGTTAAGGGATGATGAACAATCACAAGCGCACGCTAAGCCACAATTGATTATGAAGAAGATGAAGCTATATACTATACATATGTATATTTATTTATTTATTCAAAGTATGTCTCCAGTTTTCCATTGAAAGATTGTTGAAAGTACAAATTGATCATTTCCACGTCCTCAGTCATAAACAGTAGCGGACCAATCAACAAGACACGCGTCTACCTGTTCGAAAACAATAAGAGAAGAACGATAGGATACGAGTTTGGATTTCTCTCTGTTCTAAAATGATTATATTCTGCTCTTTGGAAAATGATAAAAGGAAAAAGACACGTCTATTTACAAAATAATCAAAATACAACCTATTATTTTCCTAAACTTGATTAGATTTAAAAATTTACATTAACGATTTGTAAAAGTTTCATTAGTTCCTAATATTTTTTGTTCACCTTGCGTTAGTAAAATGTGTAGCATAAATATAAACACCCTAGCAATAAATTTTCAGAGAAGATTCCATCCAAAGAATAGATATAATATATCTATAGTATAGAATCTAAACTATAGATTATATTATATGTATTCTTTGGAATTAAAAAACAAATTCATAATATTGCATTGACGAACACCCAAATTACTTGGCACAAAAAGTATTCTTAGAAGCGCGCCCAACCAGGCTAAAACGAAAAATTCCCAATGCTCTCATAAATTTGTAAACGCTAACATTATTATTATTATTATCTTACTATTTCTATTATTGTTATTTTGTTATATTTTATCATTTTTCTCTTATTATTTTATTATTCAGAAATTTTATTTATATTATTTATTAATTTTATTTTTATTATTATTTGCTTCTATTTTATATTAAATCATCATATTACGTATATTATTTTCATATAAATTCTCTTATTTATTTAGATTTATGTTATTATTTATCAATATTACTAGATGTTAATTATTTAACAGTTGTAATAATTATTGAAATTAAAAAAAATAATAATAATATTGCATGAATATTGCACAGTACAATATTGTATATCATGTATAATATGTATAGATTCTATACATATTATACATGATATACATATTATGTACTGAATATGCCTGCAATATTATGAAATATATTTTTTTAATTTGAGATGATTAACATTAACATTATGAATAATTTAATTAATTAAATATGAATAATTAATTGAATAAATCATGAATTAATGTATCATTTTTTTTTTAAGTTCTCTGTACCGAATTTGGGTGTAAACGTTTGAATTATAGCGATTCCCAGTATGTCTATAATTTATCCTAGCATATCCTATTTAATTCCTCAAACCTACGAATTGCGTCTTGTAAGATGCACTTAAAATTATTTTTCTACAAAAATTTCTTTTTTACATTGATTGACATGAAAAAAAAATCAGAATAAGAATAAACTTCCATATCCTTTACGAAAATGATCAATCAGTCAACAACGTAAGTTTTCATTGAGAGTGTTCTGTTTGCCGCGGCGTGGCGCGGCGTTTTGCCGTTTTTTGACCCTATGTGACCTGCAATCGGCCTTGAGACCGCAAGCGCTGACGATCCGCAGCAACGCCGGAGTTGTGGCTCACTCGCGCGAATTGCGTTCACGAATATTTTAGAGCACATCCTTCGAGCATTCTTTAACGAATAGAAAATTAAAATTCACAGCCAAGCTTCGAAGCCATGATGAAGCACTTTTAAGATAAGTTTTGCATGTTTTCAAAGATATTTTTCTGATCGGTCAAAATGATAATGATACTCTATAGTCAAGTAAAGCGCATCATCCGTCACAACCCGCCACATTTACAAATTTTCTCATTTGCACTAAATTAGCTAATATAAAATCTTATTATAATATATGGTAGTTGCACTATTGGTGAAAATAGTAGGAACACGTACGACAAAGTAAACCTTCTTTGTTCTGAATAAATTAAGAGTAATTAAAACTATAGACCACTTTTATTACATTAATCACTTTCCACTCGCGAATTCCGAGATTTATATGAATTTTAACGCCGGAGCGACGGCATCCGAGTCGAAAGGGTTAATTGATGATATTCTCATTCAAAATAAAAACTATTCAATATTAGTATTTAATACTATAATAAAAACAACAAAATCAAACTATGAAACTAGCATGCAATAGCTTATTACACAGCCCTTAATTCAGATCAAAATACTTTTTTTATTTAATCAATTTCATATTCTAAACCTAAAAATTACTCCAACTGAATATCTATCCTCCAACTACCTTCATTCTATTTTGGAATTAAAATATAGGATATCTTGAACTTCAAAGGACTGCTACGATTTCTTCCCTATTTTCCAATTACAGCGACAATACAACTTTATTTACGGAAAATACATTTATCAAAACAAATTTTAAAATTAAAATGCACCATTTTGATACACTTATTAAAATGTGTCGAATATGAATATGAAAGCATCCTGAATGTACAACCCATATTTTATTTTAATGATTTAATTGATTGTTATCGATTACGATATATAAAAAACCTAGCTTAAAACTTATACTAAACTAGGTGTAAGTGTTATTTTGCCTCAAGGTAAGTTGCAAACACTTAAATTGTAAAATAAATCAAAATGAGTACGACAAAGAAAACATAAGACTTCAAATCGAATTTTCCGACGAAAACATAAAACTCTCGATCGGAAAGTTGAAAAGCTCATTCGAAATGGATAATAAGCTAATTACATAAAAAATAGTTAAAGAATACAAATCTAGTAGTAATTTTTAAGCAATCGATTGACAAATACATTTGAAATAATGATTTGAATATATGTG